GAGATTTGACAGTTGTTGTTTACGCAACAGAACATGCCACTAACTCACACAGCCTGGATCTCCCAGCCACACCCACTGGGTCGCAGCCCACACGTGACCCGGATTTTAACACAACAGGAGGATGGGGGGGGGCGGCAACTCGGATCCCAGCAGACACACAGTCTGAACCTTCCTGCCTCACCCCATTATACAGTCTACACTTGATCAGGATTTGCGTAGCTCATTCTGGGGTGAGGCACAGATCTCGCATGAAGCTGAGAAACCACATTGAGAGGGACCAGAGGACAGACTTCTCACTTACGTGGGAGGTGCCAAGTTTGGTTGGTTACCAGGGGGTGCATGTGTGGTGCATGCCTTGGTGAAGAGGCTGTGGGCGGGCCAGTGGGGATTGGCCGCAGATTTTCGTGGATGAGTATGGGGCCAAGTAGAAACATGGAGTGAGTGTGTGGTAACTCCCTCCGCGCAGGCAAGCATGTGCCAAGGCTCACCGCTGCCAACGAGTACACATGGACTGGCCGCTTACACCCGTCCGTCTGACCAATCATCGGGCAAGGCTGACTCATTCAAAAGCCGCTCCATACGCTGTCACCTCGCTTCAGACGTCACGGTGTGGCCGGCGGTTGCTCGCCCGTTTAACAGTCAAATTGCTCTCGCGTATTTTCTATTCCTTCTGTACAGAACAAACTGTTCCTACCACTCTGGCTCCCCATGACTTCTCGTCTAGGAGACGCCATCTATACCACCACTACGAATATCCAGAGGTCCACACGCCTACGAAATAAGGAGGAATTTGACATGAACGGGGAGATTAAGCGTGTGTTCTCTGCAGAGAACTAGGTTCCCCGAGCCAATTAGAAAATCAGGACTGCGTCGAGTGAAGCTATTTTCGCAACGTATTGCCGGCAAATGCAGTGTAAAATCAGGGCGATTCGATTAAGCTAATCAATCTGGTTTTGAAAAAAATATCTCTCTGTATAACCCTTCGAAGGAAAAATCAGATGCCGACAAAGCACGTCGAGGTTGGTAAACTTTTATGTGCACAGACAGGCTATTTTTGCCTGCCTTACTGCTTTTTCTTCTCTGGCGCAAGCATGGGTTTTTGTTGTTATGGCATTCACAATTCAAATCTCTTGTCAGATTTGCTGACGGCCAACAAGTAACTGTTTGTCAGTATGAAGACCCTGGACACAGAATTGGTTAGGCATACAGAGAACTTTGGCGCGAGTAGGATAAAAAGTGCACACAAAATAAAACGCGGAGCTTCTTAAGACCCGGTTATTCGTGGATTTCTATTGCTACATGACAAAACTCACAATTTTGACACATGGTCATTGTGGAAGGATTTATCATTTCCGTCTAAATCCAACAGTTGTCAACCAAGTGCCACGGCGACGCTGCTTATGGGGAGACACTAAAACTGTCACAGATGTTTGATCGAGAACGAAAACAATCAACCTTTATACAGGCCAAAGGTGAAATCAAGAACCGAATCGCGAAGGCTAGAAATGCATTTAGGCTACTAGCCAGACCGCTCTGGTCTCGCTCAGACATCAGCTTACGTACTAAGCTGCTGACATACGAAGCAACAAGCAGACGGGTGTTAGTATATGCCTGCGAAACATGGCCAGTGAGAAAGGCAGACATCCTATCGCTCGAAGTTTTTGACCGCTGGTGTCCTCGGCGCCTCTTAAGAATCTTCTGGCAGGACCGAATTTCCAATGCCGAGCTATATCGCAGATGTTCCAAACTATCAAGTCCAGCAGCATACATCTAGCATCACCAATTGCAATGATTTGGCCACGTCCTGCGCAAGCCATCGACGGACCTCTGTAGAATGGTCATGAAGCCTTATCGTGGTGCAAACTGAAGATACCAACATGAAGACATGGCTCAACACCGTCAAGTCGGACGTCGAATGGATGGGCCTCGTAACCGTTAACGGCTTGCGACACTGGAACAAACAATGGGTCACCATTTGCGAGGTGCTCGCTTCCGATCGCCTCCGCTATCCGTGAAGCCGATTCATCCAACAACCGGAGCTAATCGGATCAAGCAAGAGGTAGTAGCGTAATGAGCCTTCTATATCAGCGTCACGTGCCGTTTTAGCCGTCAGCTGACTACCATGTGTAATTCGCGATGCAGTACTTGCCACGGGGTTCTAGAGAGCCACTTAAGTGTTCGTTTACTTGCAGATGGCTGATAGGTAAGGCCTCCAGCGATAGGCACCTCGAGAATGCCCCCACGGCATTAATAACTACGTCTTCCTAATCTGGATTTCCTCTGCCACCTCGGACATGCATAAATTCCGCCTTCCATCAAAGCTGCCGATGGTAGATAAGCTTTAGTTGTCTAAAAAGCACTTACTCCGGTTCGGGACATTCAAGACGTTAGGTGCTAACAATAAAGCTGTTTGGAGACCGGAAACATATTTCCACTTGGCTTTCAGACTCCTACAGAAGTCCAGTGACTTAGGCAGCTCAAACGAATGAGGGTATGAGATCGGTGCACAACCAGACCCTTGTCCGATTCAGTAGGATATGAGGCCGGAGTAGTAACCGGCACATATAAGCGTATAAAACTGATGAACCGGTCATCGTGTGGGCGACGGGATCGAACTTGAAAAACACGGTAGTCTTCTAAGTGCGGTTCCAACAGAGTGTACCACACATGTACTGAGATAATGTGATGATCTAGACAGTAGACAAATGTCAATGTTTGAACCTGCCGAACTGACATGGCTGCGGAAAACCTCTGGCTATAGCGCTTTATGCCTTTCAATCTCACCATTGCTAACGATCGTGGCGGGAGGACAGACGATAAGTTAAGGACGTGTTCGGGATCCCGCACATCCTTAGCCGCAGCGGATCGTGACCGACTAACGACAAAGGGAGATCAGACTAGGCGTCTAAACGATGCAACATAAGCACTCCGATGCGTCTCGCCCCTAAAAAGAACTAGCATACTAGCCCCAACAGACGGTTTATACGCAGAGCGCAAGATCAATTATCTTTAACGATCACAAGCTTGACGTAAGCAAATCGCTATGTCGCTGCCTAAGGAAACGTGAACGGCAAACTGACCGCTAGTGTACAGCTAAGTAGCATAGTTGTGTTAAATCAACTATTAACTAATGCGACAGTGGCAGCGGCAGTATTCTATCACCTATCATCCTCCACTCATCTCAAAATAGTAAACGCTTGTGGCCTGCCTAGACCGGTGTCAGATACAATGAGTCAATACTACCAGTCAAATATAATTAGAGCGTATGTCACCGCGTGTTCTCAGCTTGTTGTGAAGCATTCGGCGGCCATAGTCGAAGTGATACATGTAGCCCTAAATCACCTTAGAAGGCCACAGCAAGTGGCGTGTCAGTGAGGGTGTACCATATCGCTGTCTGAAATGGAAGAACTGAAGTAAAGAGCTTGAACAGACGGTCACCTACGGTCTGGTATACATAAACACACACCAAGTGATGACAGCTTAATGTTTAGAGGCGCAGTCACATAAAGAGCAAAGATTAAGTGACTGTAGAGGGCAGCGTCTGGCAACTGGAATAAAAGCCCTCAACTGACACTACAAACAGTGATGATGGGCACCCATGTTATAACTGTCTCGAGAACTCTTAAGACTAAAACGCTCAAGCAAGCCGCGCGTAGGAATACCGAACAGCTATGTCGACAAAAGAAAGTACAAGTTTGCGATAAGATTTATAAACTCCATCAAGGCCCTTTAACAGACGAAAATTTGATTGCCACGGAAGTCAAATGTTGCAACGAAGCGGTTTGGGCAGAATTCAAGCATGCGGGCACACAGACACAGAGCAATGTGGAAAATTTGTAGCAGGAAACAAAATTGGTGGGTGGGTCGAAAAGGACACAACAGTTCAGGTAAAAAAAAAGCTAAACATAGGATAAGGTACTTATTGTACACAGTCTCAGCTAACAGGAAAAACGGACTAGGAAACCTTGAAAGCCAAGCGAGTTAATAGCATGGGTGTAGGT